CGAGAAAGAGCCAGTTGCCATTGTTGACAGGCAGGTTCGCCAGTTGAGGTCCAAGAAGATTTCTATGGTAAAAGTTCAGTGGAGGGGTCAACCAGTGGATGAGGCAACTTGGGAGACCGAGGAGGACATACGGAGCAGATATGCACACTTATTCAACACTCCAGGTACGATTCTAGACCCGTTTGAGGACGGACGTTTGTTTAAGAGGTGGAGAATGTAACGACCCGGCCAGTCATTTTACTTTCTAGATCCATGTTCCCCTAAATAAGACTCCCCGTATGTGTTTTTACTATTTTATGACTTGCGGAAATTGTTAGTACGGGTTTGGAAAGGTTTGGGTTGAAATCAGATTACTTAGTTCCTTAATATTGGCTTATAAGGGTTAAGTTTGACTTGGGTCAATATTTTTAGTAAATGACCTCAGAACCGGGATTTGACGGTCCCAATAGTCTCGTATGATGATTTTGGACTTGGGCGTATATTCAGATTGGATTTTTGATGACCCGGGAGCATTTCAGTGCATAAAGTTGAAAGTTGGCGCATTGAAGGTTTTTAAGTTCTTTAAATTTGGTTTGAAGTAGGTTTTGATGTTATCGAGATCCGTTTGGTATTTTGAGCCTGTGAATAGCTCCGTATAGTGAATTAAGACTTGCACAAATTTGGTGTTATTCCGAGTAGTTTAAGTATAATTGGAGTGAGTTGGAAGAACTTGAAGTTCATAAGTTGATTCTATTTGGTTTTTGGTTGTGATTCTTAGTTTTGATCTTGTTTCCCATGTTTCGAGAGGTCTAGTAGGTCCTTCTTATGTTTACAAACTTGTTGGTATGTTTGGGCGAGGCCCTAGGGGCCTCGGGTGCTATTCGGATGATGCGCGGATCAAGTTTGGACTTGAAAGAATTGCTGGTGCACCAGTTCTAGTACGTCCGCACCTGCGAGATTTTGGCCGAAGGTGCAAGCTTTTGACTGGAGAAGAGGCCTGGCATGGACTGCCTAGTGGTCGCAGAAGCGAAGCAGGAACCACATATGTGAAGGCGCAGGTGCGAGGCAGTGGATCGCAGAAGCGGGCTCTCAAAAGCGAGGTTTTGGTCGCAGAAGCGATGAAGGTAGACATGCATGTGGTCCACACCTGCGAGGTTTATTCCGCAGAAGCGGAGACGCAGGTACGACAGTGGCATCGCAGGTGGGAAAACCGCTAGGCAGTAAGGTTCATTTAAGTCGAGGACTTAGGCAATTTTGGCTCATTTCTTTCATCTCTGGGCGATTTTTGAGCTCTTTGAAGATGGGTTTTCATCTATCTATTGGAGGTATATAATTTCTATCCAATGTAAGTTAAATACATAGATTATGGGTAGATTTCAACATGTAAAATAATGAAGATTAGGGGTTTAGTTGAAAAACCTAAGTTTTGATAAAAAATGGGATTTAACCATGAAAATGATGAATTGCGTAAAAATTATATATTTGAGTTCGTGAAGTTATGGGTAACATTTATCTTCAAAAATTTCCGAAATCCGGGCACATGGGCCCGAGAATGAATTTTAGGAATATTCCAACTTGGGTTGAATAACTACCCCAATAGTTAAATTATGAACATTTGAGTATTTATTGATTTATTTATATAATATTTGGCTAGTTTCGGGTTGTTTGGTACCAAGTTGAGGATTTAAAACGTACTTGTGGATCAGAAGTGAGCTTGAGAACGAGGTAAGTCTCTTGCCTAACCTTGTAAGAGGGAACTCATCCCCTTAAGTGTATTTGTTGTGTGTTATTTGTGTGAGGAGCTACGTACGCACTAGGTGACGAGAGTCCGTATATAGCTATATTCCATGAGATGTCGGGGTAGTCTTAGATTCACATCACGCTTTAATTGTACTATTATGTCTGTTAGGCATACTAATTATCTTAAATAAAGCTGAGACTAGAGATTCCAATTTAGATTTCTTATTTTTGGAAAGAATTGAGGAATACATAATAAGTTTGAGAAATCCATATCCTCTCGTGTTGCAAGTACTTCCACGAGCGAGGTAAACTTCTCTACTCTCATGGGAGTGGACTGTTCACCTCGGCAGTATAATAGAGGCATCTATGGTTTGTGTCGTTTGACCCTCAGCAGTGCACACAATATTTTAGATCGGGTCGTACGACCTCGGCATAAATCGTGCTTGATAATACTCGGAACCCAATTACACTTGATATTATGTTATGGTTTGAGAGGTATAATTAATTTAATGACCAAAAGTGATTCAGAACTAGCATGTGCTTTAGATGGAGATTTTGGAATTTATTATAAGTTAAAGAATCATTTATTTGTTATTATTATTATTTCCATATTTCATGCCTATTTAGAATTTCTGTATTTTATTATTGGCCCATAGTGAATGTCGATGTCGACCCCTCGTCATTACTTCTTCGAGGTTAGACTGGATATTTACTAGGTACATGTTGTTTATGTACTCACGCTACACTTTTGCACTAATCGTGCAGGATCCGAGGCAGGTGCATCTGGCGGTCATTCCGGTGCGCACCCCCTATACCCCGAGGCTTAGTGGTGAGCTGCTTTTTGAGTTCGTTCTGCAGCACCCGGAGTCTCTCCTTTGCATTTACTTTCTGTCTATTTTATTTCAGACAGTCGTTTAGTGTTTTGTATATTCTACTAGTAGCTCATATACTTGTGACACCATGTCTTGAAAATATGCTAGTAGACATTTGATGGGTTTTAAGTAATTATTACACCACACTTGCTCTTGTATTTGTTTACGCTTTATTTTATTAAATTTTCACCTCTTATTTACTTAATAAATAAAAAACAACTATTTCAAAATTATTAAAAAGAATATATGAGAGGCATGGTTATACAATAGTTTGCATGCATTCACGATCCATGGTCCCTAATTTTCCACAGTTTGGTTTACGTCCCAGTAGCGTGTCTTCAGTATTCAGGTTGAAATCATGTACTCATATTTCTTATGCTATTACTCTTATTTGCTTGTGCTTCTTAATCTTACATTCTCAGTACATTATCCGTATTGATGCCCCTTCCATTTTGGGCGTTGTGTTCATGTCTACAGGTACAGATAGACTCGATGACGCACGTTCTGAGTAGGTGCGCGAATCAACTATTGGTTATTGCTCTCCTCTCCTTCGTAGTAGCTATTCAGAAGTCAATAGTACCTAGTTGTGTATGTGTATGTTTCTTTTGGTACTTTTAGAGGCTTGAAGGCTATAGTTTGGTTGTATATTGTATAAAAAGGGGCAGTAACGACTTGGTTAAGAACATTTGTAAATATGTATAAAATGCCAATATTTTCTTGGTTAAATCAGTTATATTTGTTGACTGCCAATTTTGACCCTCCCTTTTATATCTAATTTATTCATATTTAATAATTTACAATAAATACTTTAAAAGTATTTTCTATTAATGAATATCTATGTTTACAAATTAATTAAGTACTAGTTTCAAAGTGGCTATCCACGCCATTTCTACATAAAAATAGCACGGTCTGGCCAGTTTTTCGACTGGTCATTCAAAAATAGTTAGCATTTGCAAAGTCATTGAGAAATAACTACTATTTTGTTGCAACAAGAAAAGTTCCAGCATAATATACTAGAGATCGGTGCACCTATGTATGAACTTCCAGCATATTATGCTGGAACTCCAACACGCAGAAAGTTCCAGCATAATATACTAGAGATCGGTGCACCTATGTATGAACTTCCAGCATATTATGCTGGAACTCCAACACGCAGAAAGTTCCAGCATAATATACTGGAGATTGGAGCACATGTGTATGAACTTCCAGCAAATTATGCTGGACGAGTATATTATACTGGAACTCCAGTATATTATACTGGATGTTCAGTATATTATACTGGAGTATACTGGAACTCTGGTATAATATACTGAGTTCCAGTATATTTATGCTGGAACTCCAATATAATATACTAGAGTTCTAGTATATTATATTGGAATTCCGTATATTATGCTGGAGTATTTTTTCAGATTTTGAATAGTGCTTTCGTTCAGATTTATCTTTACATAAAAAGTGACTAAATTTCGATTACTTTTGAAACTGTGACTATTTTTGAATGGGGAAATTGCCAGCTATGTCCATTTATAAGTAGCTCATTACAAAAGTTGGCCAATTGATAAAATATTACTAATATTAGCCAATTAGCTATTTGTAATAAAAAATATCAAATTTTTGCTTTTGTTTTGAGTGAGTATTATTAGAATAGATTGGGCACAACTTAAGGAACTTGAATCTCAGTTTTGGGATGATTTGGTGAAGTTTTGAGGTGGTTTGAATTGAAAATTCGGTAAAAACTGAACATGAAAAAAAATGATATGTGTATCACACTGTGTATCATTTGTGTATCACATATGTATCACATGTATATCCATGTATACCTGTGTGTGAGATACATGCGTGATACATGTGTCTTAGAAGATTTTTTTGAACTTGATTTAATTACTAATTTTGATACAAAACCAGTTCAAATCACCTCCAATCTTCCTCAAATTTTGTATATTGACTTGTTTATATATTTTCAATGAATTTCAACTACACCCATTGAAAAAATTCCTTTTTTGTTTAGATTTTTGGAATATTGTATCTATTTTTTGTATTTCATCACCTTATTTGCTACCTCATCCATAAAATTTCCTTTCCGTCTTGTATCTAGTGTTGCTAATCACGCTTAAAAATATGGAAGCTGATTTTTGCATGTGATTCTTTGAGAGAAAGAACCCTATTATTTGGTTTTTCAATTTTTGTTGGCTAGTTTTGGTAAGTCTATGATTAATGGCTAGAGGTTGGTAAGTTGAGATTTATTTGAGACATTTGTGTAAGTTTCCAAATGACCACTTGTAAATTTGGCTATATTTGAATTTCTCCGCATTTCTACTACACATCCAATAGCAGGCCCAATAAAATGAAGCCCAATATATCACAATAGAGACGTTCGTTTTGTCGGACGTTAAAAAAGGTCAACACCTCAGTCCAGCCAAAAAACTCACAAAATTTCCCTCCCATTTGCCGTTTGGTGAGGAAAATCAAGAATACTCCTAATACTTAAGGTTTGGATGTAAGCAGTTCTCTCTCTAAGTAGAAATAGAGTTGAAAAAATGGGTAAGCAGCAGAAGAGAGACAGAAGCAATCTCATTGTTTTGACGGGAGCCGCTGCTCTTCTCGCTATTGCTGTCAACTTTGCTATCTCCGCCATCAACAGCAAGCATCGCAAGAAAAAAGGTTCCCTTTTCTTACACTTCAATTTTTGTTTATTCCTATAAGAAATGAAACCTTTTCGCATTTTTTTGTTGAATTGCAGAGATTCCAGGTTCAAATGTTCGAGTGAATTTAACTGCTTCTGAAATTCTGAAATTAGCGGAAAGCATAATTAAGAAATCGAAGCAAGTTCATGATGCTGTTGCTTCAGTTCCACTTGACAAGGTATTTATTGTGTTGAGTTATGTCTAGTTAGATTGTGGATTGTCCATTTAATTCTAATATATATTTTGGCCATATTATCTTTCTTGCCTAGCTGTAGTAAGGCGACTATCCTTTTGCCCTGAAATTGAGAAGTCCCCTTTTGCACTAAACAAACTTATTGGGCACAAAATCTGTGGACTCTGTATGGCCAAATACATCAACAGCCCCTTTAACTTGTTTTCACTTTTCACTTGTCCTCGAGACACTAAAATGTTAGGCAGCCAAACACGATAGATGCGTGTAATTCACATGCTAGAATAACCAATAAAACGGAGACATGCGTGGATGACACACTAAAAAAAACTTTTAGGAAAAAGAAAAAAGTTAAGCTTTTTGACAAGCATTTGCCACAACAGGTCGTGTAAACCAAAATCCTATTAATAGATAGGAACACAACCCAACCAATTCCCAAAAGATATAAATTTGTATCAAATTCGAACTAGTAACTAATCCCAACATGGAAGTACTGAAAAAACTCATATAAGCAAAAAATCTCAAAAAATAAGAACCCTCCATCATCTTCTTCTCCACCCCCCTCCCCCCGAACCCTCTTTTTCACCATTCTTTCATCTTTTCTTTTAATAATTAAACAAATTCTTTCACAAACTTGCCGGACACAACGAAAAATTGTAGCCAAAAATCACTAGGGCATTCCAACTTCACACCAGTTCTGAACAGATTCGATCCAATCCAAGCGCGGGAGGTTCTTCCCCATGTCGTAATCTATCTCCCCATCAAATTTGGATCATTCCAACTTCAAAAATGGCAACTCCGATGAATCTCCAAGCTCCGACGAGCTCTATTTGGCCGGAGATGGTGTTCAAGCCAATCAAATACAGCAAAACCAATGCCAAACAGTTTCTGCACCTCAGGGGAGTGTTTCTAACCTCTTTTATTCTGCTTTGATCCACTCAGCTTCGACAAATTTGAAAAATGGAGAATTTGGCAAGTTGGGTATACAAGGTGTTCCACAAAATGTCAATGTCAATTTCACTCTAATTCAGCAAGCTTCAGACGTTGTACATGCTTCTTCTCATCAAATACAATCCCCCTATATAGTTTTTGATAAAAAAAAGGTACAGAATCGAGTAATTCTTGTTCATATGTCAACGCTAAACTTTTTTAGTCAGAAAGCTACTCTTAGTCATAGCTGTTTTTGAGTAAGTCTTGAAGCGGAAGCCTGGATCTTATAACGGATAATTGATATTAAATCCTATGTATTAAAGCAAAAACTTCGATCTTGAAACGGAAGCTTGGCATAAATTAGAATTACTCCTTTGTGTACATAATATTTTCTGAAAAATTAAAAGAGAAGTTTGTTTTTTGGACTATTTTACGCGCTTGAAAAAATTTAGATACATTCACCTTGCCATGTCAGCTTTTTGTGTCTGGGTGACACACTAAAGAGCTGGTTGGAGTGTTTAAATGGAACGACCTTAAGAATAAGTGTTAAAGTGGAAAGTGAAAACAAGTTAAAGGGGCTACCGATGTATTTGGCCACTCCGTATTGTAATGATTCTCAAGTTTGAGGTCCTCATGCGGATGGTTGAAGTATAAGATTAATAACCTGAAGATCCACTCGAATCTTTGGTGCAACACTTAGTATGAGTTCTTCTACTCCAACTTCGATGGGTAGGTTTACCCAGCACGTGTTTGTGGGTTGTAGCAAATGGTGCAGTGAATTACTTGAGGAGCATGTAAGCTTGTCAGTACACCAATGTCATGCAAAATGGTTCTCAACTTTGAGGAGTAGGTTGAATTTCTAGTCCTGTTCTGGGACGTGTTGAATTGATGTTCAAAATTCTAGGAGGGCATGCAGGAAGACGTCGTTCACATTCACCAAAGTTATGTGGCAATAGCTCCTCTTTTCCCCTTGTTTCTATGACTGTAAATGAATTCTATGCCACAGTGTGTAGCTGCATTTGTATTCTTTAAATCTTGTAGGCGACTCATTTCCTGTATCAATATTTTACAAGAGGCTTTCTATGTCGTGACTATTGCTTCAAGGGGAATCTTCAATTGTCTAGGCTTCTACCATCTCGGTTGCTAGAGACCCATTCACTAACTCTTTGGCCACTCTATTTGTTGTGTAATCAACGAGCTTAAGTGTAATCGATCAACGAGCTTAAGTGTAATCCATGAACTTAGAAAACATTCTCTATAGGGAACTCAGGAGGCTTCTATTTTTTGACCACTGCTTTGAGGAGAATCTCTAGGGTGGCGAAGAACTATCCACTCTTTGACAATACCATTTGTAGTGAAATCCATGAACTTATCAAACATTTATTGAATGGAACTCTCATATTCAGGGAGTTGTAAATAACTGATACAAAAATGCAGTATGCAATCCACGGATTGCTGTAGCTCAGTCATGTTAGTGCAACAACAAAACTACAACTTAGACAAGGGCAATCACTAGCTAGAATTGATGGAATTTTAGTTGATTATAGTTATGTGGCCAGTTGCTGAAAGCCTTAGCCAGACCATCATTTCTTATATATTGATAGAGGATTAAGTGGCAAATCTTTACTATGCCCAAGTGCGGAAGTACTTAAGTATGTTACCCTATGTTTCATTCTGCTAAAAAATTTCTTAATAGTTGTTGAGTTCAAGTTCATCATGTGAAGAGAGAATTGTCTCAATTAGCTGACTATTCGGCTAACTTCGGTGTTAACTTGCAGTCTAGCAGTCGAAACTAGTATTTAACTCTCTGATTATTTTCTTGGAGTCAATCAGGCGTTTGTTTGTTTGGAACTTATCAAATATTACTATTTTAGAACTTTCTTCTGCATTAAGTCTTATGCTTTAATCTGATATGCCGTTCTCAAGATATTGCTGATATTTCTATTTGTAAATTTGTAGGTTGCCTATGTAAATGTGATATTGCCATTAGCAGATTTAGAGGCACAGCAGTTCCCCTTAATACAGTCATGTGTTTTTCCTAAATGGTTATCAGCTTCAGAGGATGTACGCAAAGCTAGTGCTGAAGCAGAGAGAAAAATAGATGCTCACATTTCAATGTGCAGGTTCTTCCATTACAAAGTTTCAACCCTTCTATTTCATTTTGCAAATTCCTCTTCTGCTTTTTGGTATCTCGAAGTAGGAAAGAAGATCTTGGTTCCGAGTTTGATCTGCTGGAATGGAACAATTTTTCATTAGGAAGTAGTGATAGTAATTTATTGAAATCAACTAGCATGAAACTAAATTATTAGGAACCATCAACCATGTTTCCTCTTAACCTTTCAAATAACAATCATATAGTCCTTGGATTCTCCTGGTCATAAAGCGAACTTGATAAATGTTGGTATGTCATTGAAAATCTCAAAATTTCCAACTTCCACTGTCCTCAAACTACCGTTAATCCTCCATTTTGTTGTTTTACTTTTTAGCTATGACTGGTTCTTTGCTTGAATGACATTTTTTTTTCCTTAACACCTTTATGCAAAATCATAAATTTGGTGGCTTCTAGTATATAATAGATGCAAAAGACATTGGTAGAAATACATTTTTCCAAAATGTAAATCATACAAGTCCGATGTGTGTTTTGTATGTCCCCAAGCTTATTGACTTGCCTAGAAAACTTCAGTAGAGGCCCTTCAACAACTCTTCAGGGAACGTTCTTATCTTGGATGCCCAACCTGCCATGCGGTGTTCCATTTCTAAACTCCCATCAGTAAACACAAGTATGTCTGTAGCTTACATCGGGCAACTATTTGATGGTGAGAAATCATAAGTAATATTTAGTTGTGCATTAAGCTAAAAATTTACGGACTACTTCTGTATCAAAACTTTCCTAGAAGTACTTGCTAATTAACTATCCCATCTTTTCTTTATTTTGTATGAGTTCAGGAAGCGTGAGGACATATACAGAGTTGTCAAAGCTTTAACAGTAACAGGGGATGGATTGAGTACTGATGCTAAAAACTTTACCCACTTCCTGGTATGGGGCATGAGCTGATTTCTTCCCTTATTTGATTTTCAAAGTGCACTGGTTTTTGATCACTCATGAGTTATGCACTCTTGTCTTGCCGCATTCACTCAACCTTTTGGTGGCTTACCTTTCTGGATGGTTACTGTGCTTTCATTCTAGTTGAGGTATCCAAGGCTAATAATTTTTAAAATTGCTGTATAGTTTCCCAAAGGTACATAAACTGTTCACTTTGTCGAGGCTGAGTAATGTCAAATGTGTCTGAGTAGTCAGAGCTACCTTTCCTGGGTAGTGAAACCTTCACTCGCGTGCAATTAATAGATAACTAGTTACTCATGCCACATCTGGACTATACATGGAGATTACACAAGTTTTGCTGGATAAACGTTTTACTTCTCTTTCTCTGCAAGGACAGAAATTATAACTCTTTTTGTTGGTACTAGTTTTTGATTGAAGGTTAATTGGAAAAGCACATAACTTTTTGTTTCTTCATATTATTGATAATCTGTGCTTACATGGGGTTGAATTTCTTCATTCTTACAAGATGTTTATAAATTTGATATTGTTAAAAGGTCTCTTTTCCCAGGATCTCTCTTTCTTATGCCTCTGCGTACACTTGCAAAAGAGCCCTTCTCTTTACACAGTCATTCAAATTTTGGATTTTCTTAATCGAGGTTGCGATTTTTATTTGAAGATATCCGCTATTTCTTTTCAGTTTTTAATTGGTTAAGATTCAGTGACAGGTTCGAGAATTTGAAAGGAATGGCGTGAATCTGACCTTATCTAAGAAAGAGGAGTTGCAGCGTTTAACTGCAAATATTGATGAGCTAAGCATGCAATACATTCATAATTTGGATGATGATTGTAGTTTTCTACTTTTCACTGACATGGAGCTAGAAGGGTTGCCCCCTGAGTTTCTCAAGGTAAGATGTAAGACTTTAGTCTTCACATCCATCTCCTATCTGTTACTCAATTTACTATTCTGCACGCACAGTGGAAATCTATTGCCTCCTTTTTCTGTCTTTTCAATATCAATATTTTCTGTTATTTTATGATGAAGTTGCAGGGAAATCGACTCATATTGGGATGTGGAAATTTTATGCTCAGACAAAAATTGATTATGAAGCTCCTGTCTATTACCATCTCCAAAAAAAAAAAAAAAAGAAAAGGAAAAAGAAAAAAAGAAAAGATAATCAATGGCATCATGTAGTAGTATATATGTATAGGTTGACCATGGCATGCTTGAGGAAGTGTAGGGGCAGGCCAAAGAAGTATTGGGGAGAGGTGATTAGGCATGACATGTTATTGCTTCAACTTACCGAGGACATGACTCACGATAGGAAGGTGTGGAGGTCGAGGATTAAGGTGGTAGGTTGACAGATAGTTGTGAGTTTCTCCTAGGTTTACCAGTAGTACTAGTACTATTCTTGTATTCTCTTATTTGTGGTTCTTTATTACTTGTTATATCATTCGCTCCCATTACCATATTACATTACTGCTGCTGTTGTTTGTTGCTTTATTCTTATTGTTCCTTAAGCCGAGGGTTTATCAGAAACAACCTCTTTGCCTTTATAGGGTAGGGGTAAGGCAGCGTACACACTACCCTCCCCAGATCCCATGCATGGAATTAAGCTGGGTTTGTTGTTGTTCTTGTTGTTGTTGTTGTTGTTGTATTACACATATGACATATATCCAAGTCGGGACAATTTTTTACTTAAGAATGTGACACTTCTAATACTAGCTCTAACATTCTAACGCTAACACTTTACATTGCCTAATATTCTAAGACTATCATTTAACATTCTAACATGCAAACTCAAAGTTAAATCGAGAAAATGCTGATTTTGAAAACACAAATTGTCAACAAAAACATTGCTGGAGAACCTACAGAAAGCCAATGAGAAGATCTACTCATCGGGATCTCGCTGGAAAGTTCCGATTGCCAAAAAGTTGATGCAAGATTAGTAGCTGGAAAAAGGAAGGTGCCATTGAAATAGTCCTCGGGAAGAGGTGTAATGTAGTTGCCGCAAAAGCCTGGGACAATTAGGAAACGAAAAAGTTCCAAATATGCCCTTGAACTATGCAAAATTGAGTTGATATGCCCGTCATTAATACTTTAGCACAAACATGCCCTTGCCGTCCAATACTTGCTCCAAATATGCCCTTATTTTAAGCGGCCCTATATGGAAAATATATTTGGTCCCAGACGCATACTTTGAGGGCATATTTGGCCCATTAAAGTTCTTAAGCTTTTATGTTTGTGAGTTATCTTGTTTAGTTCATGACAATATAATGGAAGTTTGTAATGATAAAACCTCCCTCAAATCAATTAGTTCCGTTCTGTAAATTTGAAATACGAACAAAGAGAAGTAAAACGTAGGAAAACCTCAACCATTTTGTTGGAAGAGGAGAAACCTATACAGAGGCCGGCCAACTTGTAAGGCTTCTCTTCCAACAAATGGTTTAGGTTTTTTGTACGCTTTACTTCTCCTTGTTCCAAAACCATGCTTCTCTTTCTTCCTAAGCAAAGTGTATTGTGTTTTGTTTGTATGGAGAGAGTAAGTAATTTATTTTTTTCTATTGAGTTAAGATTCGACACATATGATTGATGCATTTTAATTCATTTATTGCCTATGGTGGCTAGACTTATCTATTGTACAACAACAACAACAACAACAACCCAGTGAAATCCCACTAGTGGGGTTTGAGGAGGGTAGTGTGTACGCAGACCTTACCCTTACCTCGAGGGGCAGAGAGGTTGTTTCCGATAGACCCTCGGCTGATAGATTTGTCTATTGTATTGGTTTTTATTGTTGTGATGCCGAGAGTGGCTATTTAGTGGTGTTTTGAGGCATATGAGGCCGTGGAGAAATTTATTGATATAGGCCTTCCAACAAATGGTTTACCTTTTTCTATACTTTGCCTCTCTTTATTCATATTTAGGATTTACAGAAGAAAATCAATCGATTTGAGGGGGATTTATCATGACAAACTTTCATTACATTGGCATGAACCAAACAAGATAACTCAATACCATAAAAGCTTGAGAACTTGAATGAGCCAAATATGCCCTCAAAGCTATGTTGCTCGGACTCTCCAAAACAGCTGCCGTACTCCTGTCGGATCCTCCAAAAATATCCTCCAAAAATACACTATTTTTGGAGGATCCGACACGCACCCATCAATATTTTTGGAGAGTCCGAGCAACATAGCCTCAAAGTATGCGCGTGGGGACCAATATGCCCTCCATACGGGACCGTTTAAAATAAGGGTATATTTTTGGAACAAGTATTGGTCGGCAGAGCACATTTGTGCCAAAGTATTAATGACGGACAACGAAATCAATTTCGCATAGTTCAAGGGCATATATAGACCATTTCTGTCATGACCCAAATCGATGGGCCGCGACGGGCACCCGGTGCCTTACTTAACTGAGTACCAACGTAACATATTTTTCTTATCATACTATCATGGGTAAATGAGCCGGAAAGACCTTTATGAGATAACCAGAATAAAACATAAGGGAATACTAGACATAGGACGACCCAACATGTTATACAAACTTATACATGTGACATACATGCCTATAAGACCAAAATGATCATTTGTACACTCAAAATATAAGCCGACAAGGCCATACAATCATCCATATATATGATATCTGTATACAAGCCTCTAAGAGTACATAAACATCATAAAGGTCGGGAGAGGGCCCCGCCATACCAATCAATATATACCAAAGTATACTGACCAAATAGGCAACTCCGGAGAAAGAGGAGTGCACCAACACCTTCTGATGAGCTGATAGCCTACTAGGAGGACTGTTAACTTGTCTATCGGGACCTGCGGGCATGAAATGCAGCGTCCCCAGGCAAAAGGGACGTCAGTACAAATAAAGTATCGAGTATGTAAGGCATGAAAAGAAGTATATAAAATACATAAAAGAAACATGGAGTAAAGGACTCAACCTGTAAGTCTGAATAGCTTAGTGAATCATGGAACATTTATAGTGTCATGCATATGCGTATAAATGTCATATCATGCATAGGTATATGCGTACATAACATCATCAAGCCTCTGAGGGCATCCCACCATATCATCTCGGCCTCTGTGGGCGAAATCATCAACGTATACCAACTAATCAGTTGGTGGTGCGTATATAACGCCATAACCTTTCCCCATACCGCATATACATATAATATACGTGTATATAATGCCATATGGTCATGGGTCAATGTATATGTATAAATGAATGCAATGCATAAGAAGTAAGTCAATAAGATCTCTCGGGATATCACTAGATTTGTATATGCCTTCAGTTAATATCATAAAATAAACTTTACCAACTTACGTATTTTCTGAGATCCATGAACATACGATATAATAATAGGATACATGGGGAATCAACAAAATAGGCATCCGTAGTACTTCTATGAATAGAGTCATTTGTAAAAATTGCCCGTTTGCCTGTTTCGTTTGTATCATATGGATTATGCCAAAAGGAAAGAAGGGATACCTTAACCCCGTTGAGTCCTTAATACCTTCAAGCAACTCTTCAAGCAACTCAACTCAATCTACCACAGCATAAGGAGATTAAAAATCAGTGCTGAGTGAAGGCTAAGTCCGTAACTTAAGCTAGTAGCTCGTTTACGTAAAATCGGTAGCATCTCCCCAGTAACAAGGGCCTCCTCCAATACCATATACCAACGACAACAACCAGAGCAATCCAGCAACATATAAGTATCAATAACATGACACCATATAACAACAAGTCACAACTACTTCATTACGAGCGGCAAGCTCCGATTGGAATCCGTATACCCCATATCACCCCTTATAGACTTCTTATTTTAACTAAACAGTATCATTTATATGACAATGAAGTCATTCATCAATGATTCCGGCATTATACAATATATTTATAACAAATAAAACAATCCACAACTCCAACTATCCTCAGTTAGCAACTTTATTCACTAGTTCATGTCTAGTCCATCAATTTAACTTAATCAACATCAAGATAACCGTGAGCACATAAAAGAACACAATATAATTACCTCCAATGGTAGCTTCCAAACGAAATTCAAGTTATATTTAGCTTACAACAACCCTCAATGGCAATAGAACACCATAGAAGTGACTTTTTGATAAAGTAAGTTGCTTCATTAAAAGGCATCAAGCTGATGCAGTGATTACAAAAATAAATATGCTAGCTCCATTACAAGATGTTATGATGGGATCTTGGAGCTAGCCAATAACAAGAAAATATACCTCAAAGAGGCTAGTCAAGAGTAAGGGAGCTCAAAAAATCTAATAAGACAGTAGAACTATTTACATAGGACTGTTTGGCCCAACAAAAAAGACTAAGTAGACATTTGGCCTTCAGCAAGTGAATTGGAGTTCCTTTTAAAAAAAAAGTGAATTGGAGTTGAGACTCCATCAAAACATCTGAGGTTTCTTTCAGTCCATAGGCACCAAAAAATGCAAGCCGGTATCATCCTCCAGGTGTCCCTGATGGCCCTATCAACTCTCCAAAGGCTCCAGCTCTCGACCGCATCTCTAATATTCTGTGGCATCACCCATTTGAGATTAAAAAGAGCTAGAAACATATGCCACATATCTGCAGCTACAACACAGTGTAATAGTAGATGATTGACTGATTCTAAGCTTCCTTGACATAGGTAGCATCCGTTAACAAGCTGGAAGCTTCTCCTACAGAGGTTGTCCTGAGTCAGACAAGCATTCTTTAGTGCCAACCAGCTGAAGCACATCACTTTTGGAGGGAGCTTTGTTCGCCAAATTAGTTTCCAAGGCCAGGAATCTAAAATTCTGTTATGAGCAACTAGCACTTTATACCCCAGCTTTACTGTATATTCCTTTGCATTGGGACCCCAGCTTAATGTATCTGTAGATTGTGAGTTCATGCTAAAACCTTCCAGTTTACTCATTAAGTTAAAAAGACTCTCTAGTTCCCAATCATGCATGTTCCTTCTGAAGAGGGGATTCCACTGATTACCTTCTCTGTTCTGTGCGACTGTGGAGTCAGGGTTACATGCTATCAGGAAGAGTGATCGGTATAAATCTTTCAGAATGAAGTTCCCTAGCCACCTATCCTTCCAGAATTTAACTTTCAGACCATTTGTAATCTTGAATGAGACTTCTTGGAGGAATTCTTCCCAGAGCTTGCTTATATGTTTCCATGGTCCAACTCCATATGGGGTTCTGCTTTGTTTAGTGCACCAGTGGTTTAGTTTTCCATGTTTTGCTGCAACAACTTCCTTCCATAAGATATTGTCCTCCCTTCCATATCTCCAGAGCCATTTATACAGCAGGCTCTTGTTGTGCTTAGCTAGGTCCCTGATACCCAAACCCCCCTTGTAGCTTTGGCCTAATGACTTTAGACCATTTGACAAGGTGAAACTTGTGTCCCTCACTGTTGCCCTCCCAGAGAAAGTTTCTTCTGATTTGATCCAATTGCTTCAGTACCTTACCAGGCACTGGAAATAGTGACATGGAGTATGTGGGAATACTGTCCATAATACTATTAATAAGAGTAAGTCTACCACCCATAGAAAGGTATTGCCTTTGCCAAGTAGCTAACCTTTTCTCCACCTTTTCTATTACCCCACTCCATCTTCCAGTAGACTTATATTTTGCCCCCAAAGGAAGCCCTAGGTAAGTGGTGGGGAAGGAGCCCACGCTATAGTATACCTAGTCAGCCAATTCATGGATATGAGGGACCTCATTCACAGGATATAACACACTCTTGAGCATATTGATATGTAGGCCTGAAATTGCTTCAAAAATAAGGAGAGTAAGATTGAGGTGTTGCACTTGAGATCTATCAGCGCCACAAAAGATCAAGGTATCATCTGCGTAGAGTAGGTGGGAAACTGAAGCTGAGCTATCTATGTTGTTTCCAATGGTAAAACCCTCAAACCACTGTAGTTGTTTGGCTTTGTCTAGCATCTTACTAAGACCCTCCATAGCTAGAATAAAGAGAAAGGGGGAGAGGGGATCTCCCTGCCTCTAATACCTTTCTGTGAAGAGAAGAAACCCACTGGACTCCCGTTAACCGGAACTAAGTATTTCACTGTGGTCATGCTGTACTTAATCCATTTAATCCACCTGTCTCCAAAACCCATTTTCCTCAACATATGTAAAAGATAGGACCAATTGACTTGATCAAAAGTTTTTTCAATATCCAGTTTTGCATAAAATGCCTGGCTCTCCAGTTTTGAGCTTCCAATCTAAAGCTTCATTAGCTATCAAAACAGCATATGTGATTTGTCTGGACTTAATGAAGGCATTCTGCTGCCCGAAAATCAGCTTTCCAATGACGGTTTGAAGTCATTCAGCAAGGCATTTGGCAACAATTTTGTAAACACTGCTAATGAGGCTTATAGGTCTGTAGTTTTTGAGTTCAATTGCACTTCTTTTTGGGAACAAGTGCAATAAAAGAAGTACTGCTAGATCTGACCATATAGCAGTATTGGTGAAAGTGGTTCAAAGCTCCTACATCATTTTTGATGAATTCCCAAGCTTTTTGATAAAAAGCCATGGTGTAACCATTTGGAGCTAGGGCTTTATCAGGGGCACAAGCATTTATTCTTTAAAAAATTTATCTTCTTCAAAAGCTTTCTCTAACCATTCTTTCTCTTCTAGAGAGATGCATGTTAGATCTTCAAAGGTAGCAGTTAGCCTCCATTGCTCATTCTCAGTGTAAAGATTCTGGTAAAAATCAAGAATTTTACTTTTGATCTGATCTTTATCTTCAATGATCTCGTCCCCCACCATCAATTTTTTGATATGGTTGTTCCTCCTACATGAGTTAGCGACCCTTTGGAAATATTTCGTGTTCCTGTCACCCTCTTTAAGCCAGAGACATCTAGACTTTTGCCTCCAAGACACTTCCTCAGCTTTTGCAATCTGTAACAATTCCATTTTTAAAGACAATATCTTCTCTTTCTCTGCTTGGGTTGTGAGTCTGTTTTCAGAGGCCTGCTCAATTGCCATAAGCTCATCCAAGGCTTTACTCTTCCTGGTTTCTAACTTGCCATAAGTTTCTCTATTCCAGTCAGTGATGTCTTTTTTGAGACATCTCAATTTCTGCGACAGGACGAAATCTGGAGTGCCCTCGATAGAGTAATTTTGCCACCACTCCTTGATTTTATCCAAGAATCCTACCTCTTGCAACCACATATTTTCGAATTTGAAGTAAAAAGGGCCGACTTCCCAGTCTCCATTTTCCAAGAGTATTGGTCTGTGATCTGAGGTTACTTTAGGGAGAGCAATTTGTTTTATATCCTTGAAGGTGTCATTCCATTCCGATGAGAACAGAAACCTGTCAATTCTGGAAGCTTGAATAGAATCTTCACCCCTGGACCAAGTGTAGAAAGCACCCTGAAGAGGAAGGTCAATAAGACTCAGGTCTTGTATAATGTCTAAAAGCTCTTCATAGCTCTTGATCTCCTGATGCAATTATACCTCTCGCTTTCGAATCTACATACGTTAAAGTCACCACCAATAACCCATTGCTCGTCCCAGATACCTCTGAGAGCTGCAAGTTCAAGCCATAGTACCTCCCTATCTGGATTAGTATGGGGTCCATATACCCCTGTGTAACACCATCTGAACTCTTCAAGGACATTTTCAAACATACATGAGATAGTGTATAAACCTTGTTAAGTATCAACACAATTCCAAAGTCTTTTATCCCATAAGATTATAATCCCACCCCTTGTACCACATGCTTTAAGCTCTGCCCAATTTGCCCATCGATTACCCCACATTTGTTGAATCATAGAAGAAGACCAGTCTACAATTTTTGTCTCTTGTAGACAGAGAACATCTGGCTTCCACTTACCCATCAATGCCTTCACTGTACTTCTCTTCTCAGCTTCGTTCAGACCCCTAATGTTCCAGTTGATAACTTTTATTTTCATTCAAACAGTGCTTTGTGGATCCTGCCCCTATCACCCTTTGCAACTCCATCATAATTTAGCCCACATTTTAGTCCTTCCAGCTCTATTTCCCCTTTCTTCCTGGACTTTCTTGCTGAATTACTCTTCAATTTCAATTTTTGTTGGCTTTGTTGTGCCTGTCTCTTATGCTCCATGCGTAGGATCAAATCCAGAATTTCATGCTCAAACCCAGCTACATTAACTCCAAAAGCTTTGCATGCCTTAAACATTACTGTTTTCGACCATCTAGAAGTTTCTATCACCATCGGGTCTTGAATTTGCTAATAGCTACTCGAACCTTCTTCGAACCAGGGAAGAGAGAGTGTGTCACTTTGAGGGAAATCGACATCAGAACTACTTAGTGGCTATGGCTCTGGAGTTGAATTGAGACGACGAAGGAAATTGTCTATGGCCATAGAATTATCGGCTTCATCGTCTGCGTATGAGATGGGTTGCTGGGAATTTTCTGTGAAAAGCTTGAGCTTCTAATAAAGAAGGATTAGTTATGGAGCTTGAGGCCTTCTCTTCAACTGTGGTTGCAGGTTTTGGAGGCCCAGTAGCCCTCCAAATACTTTCTAACCTCTTATGGTTTTTCTTCTTTGGGCCTTTTTGATAATAAGCCCAATCCAGCTTCTGAACCCTTGGAACCCTAGCTAATTTATTTTTAGCCTTTGCTTGAGTGTGGGCCTGGTCGGTCTGCTCTTTTAAAATATTTGGGGCTAGATTCAAATTAAAGTTACCTCCCACGTGACAACTGTTAGAAGCGACAAGAGGGGCCCTTGCTTGGCTTGATGAGGCGTTAATAGTTGTCTTCTCTAAACCTTCCCCTTTTCCGGTGACCGTAACCCCATTACCAGTAGAAATAGTTACCAAAAAATCTTCAAGAATGGCTATTTCAAACTTCAAATCCCCAACCAGCAGCTCCATTTTTCCAGGAATAATCTTCCCAGTACGAACAACGCAGATCCGACCCTAGAATAGATGTGTTCTATTTTTTGTGTCTTCATCAATTCCTACAAATCCCCCACAGAAGTCATCGATCAATCGGAAGGTATCTGAGGACCAGGCATGCAATGGGATCCCAAAAGCCCTAATCCATTTGTGCTCCATCTTCGGCGTTGAAATTTCAGTTCCGGTCACTGGTGACCACCAAGATAGAGAGAGATGTCTGCCATTCCAAAACCAATCACTAGCTATGATACGAGTAGCCTCTTGCCTCGACGAAAACTCGCACAAGAAACGATTATGGGCCAACGGAGTGACCTTCAGGCCAGCAGTAACTTTCCACCTGTTTGTAAACCAATTCTGTATCACCTCTGGATTTGGGCTTCGATTGAATGGATCATTGAAAGCACCTAGGAGGCATCTGCTTAGTGGATGAAGACTATCTTCTGCTTTGAGCCTTGGATCTGTCAAAGTTTCCGGCCAGGTTTGGGCTTTTGCTGCATCAAAGTAGGATTTTAGAGCCCGTTTGGATTGGCTTAAAAAAAGTGGCTTCTAAGCACAAGGGCTTAAAAACAGCTTTTAAGTGCTGGAGCTTGTTTTATAAATAAGCAGTTACCTGTTTGGATAAAAGTGCTGGAACTTAAAAAAAGTTGTTGAAGTGTTTGGTAAACAAGTGCTGGTAAACACTTTTTTCTATTAAAAAGACAAATATCCTTAAAGCTGTTAATATTATAAAGGAGTTGATTACTATAATATATTTAATTATAAATTAATGCAAATAAAAAATAATTTATATTTTAATTTAAATTCAATTTATGTGATTACTTTAGATAATTTTTATAAAGTAGAAGAAAGATACTATATAGTCAAGTAGAATTGGTAGAAAGTAACGCAAGTGGATCAAAAAATGATACTTGAGGAAAGTGCAGAAAATGAAAGATGAAGTAGAGAGGAAGATGAAAGAAGAGGAACATGTCTTCACATGTGAAGAAAATTGGAGAAGAAAATGTTTTGGGGTTTCTTTGACTGAGGGTAAGTTTGATATTATGAAAACTTATAATGGACAAAAGAGTAATTTTATTGGTCAAACCAAAATGGCTTTTAAGCCAAAATCGAAAAAGTTGGGATCAACCAACTTGTTGTTTTTGGCTTTTTTTAAGCACATTTTAACTTTTTTTAAGCAGTTTTTTTTGCCAAACACTCCATATAATAAAAAGTGGCTTAAAAGCTGGTTTGACTAGCTTTTAAGCCCATCCAAACACCCTCTTAGTTGTGGCAATGGAGGATTTATGATAATGGGTTTTTTGGTACCCAATAAACTTAGGATCTTGTCAGCAATGTCAACCCATCCAAAGTTGTAACCCGCTTCTGGAATTATCACTGCCGACTTCTCATGGCCCAACCAAGTCTCAATTCGCGCAAATCTCCCATGAATGTTGTCATTTTGATAAATTCTGAAAAAATAAGCTTGTTGTTTCCTCCCCATCTTCTGTAAATATCCCCTGTACCCCTGGAAGCTTGTTTGAGATTTTCACAGACTCACCTCAGATTGTCTTCGTCTATTTTAATTCTGCTTGCAAAACGCCTGCTGCGCTCTGTAATCGAAAACCATCTGAAAGAATTAGTGCTAATATCTGCTATCTCGAAAGGTTTGTTCTCAGAAACAAAGAAAAGCTTATCCCCTATAATAAGAAATGTTCCCGGGGAAGGACTCGCCGGAGAGAGTGTTTACAGAGAGAGAAGAAGTAGTGGCACGTTTCCCAAATCAGAGCAAAAAGGACCCATTTCTTTCATGCTTAAAAGAACTGTTCCCGGGGAGAATTTAGATACACCATAGAAGTGACTTAACCTAATCTTCACTTCCAATCTCAAGTTTCATATGTTTCTTTCATCAATTCACTTGATAAACATATAAACATGCATAACAACAGAAACCATTTCATAATCAAGATATTGTCCCCAATTTCCAGTCATAACAACACAATATATATATATATATATATATATATATATCTCCTTAAAACAACATCTCTTCCCTTTTCAAGTGCTATCTTGTAATCTTTCACTCAAACACCACAACCATCATGTAATTAACCTTAAACACCACCAAAAGGATGTTAAACATACCTTAGGTAGTAGATAAAATTCGAACCCTAAGCTTAACTTAGCTCACCATCATCCTTAATCACATCACAATACCATAGAGGGGTTATTCTTCACCTTTGGCTAACTTTGATGTTGGATTATGGTGTATTTTTTTGAATTTTTTTGGAGCCTTGGGGGAACTGTTTGGGAGGGTTTGGAGAGTGTGAGGATGGAAGGAGGTCGAAAAATGAGCAAAGCTTATCCCAAAAACAAGATAAAAATAAGTGAAGGTCGACCATCATTCAAGTGGGTCCCATAGGAGCTGTCTGCGCAGTCTCACAAAAATGCGAATATCTCTCTACTCCAATGTCGTATTGATGAACGGTTTAATGTGTTAGAAATTAGACTTATAGATCTTCAATTTAGTAGGTGGATCATCCCGTAATTCCAAGTATATTGGAAGAAAATATCAGCTATATTTGACCTAAGTTTCAGCATATTTATGAATGTAACTTGTGATGACCTTTGCAACTTTTGTTCCACAACTCGCTTGACTT